TCAAAGGGAAAAGAGCCGTCGTGTAAAGCAGCGGAGAGAGAGAATCTCCTTAGAAAATTCCCCTTTTGATCTTTAAACTGGCCATAGTCCTGTCCTCCAACATACAGATTGGTTCTCCATGAGTCCATGCCCTTGGATATAAACGTTGTTATTTTATTACTAATACCGTAAATATTCAGGCACTCCCGGATCCAGCTATGCGGTAGAGAATCGAAAGCTTTTCTATAATCTATCCAAGCCATATGCAGGTTTTTTGCTTTCTTCTGCAGTTTTTTAATACCATTTTGTCGATTAATAGTTGATCCTTTGTACCTCTGGTTTGTTTACAGCTTCCTTTTGTTCCACTGGGTATAGGTTGTTTGTTGTTAGGTGTGCATATATTGCCTCTCCTAATATACCCGTCAGCACTTTAAATGTCGTTGGAAGACACGTGATTGGTCTGTAATTGCTTGGAATTGCACCTTTTTGGGGATCTTTCATGATAAGAAACGTTTTTCCTAAGGTTAGCCATTGGTAGTCTGTTGGGTCGTCCAATACAGTGTTGAATTGTCTGGCAAGTCTTTCATGTAGTTTTGTTAGGTGCTTCAGCCAGTAGCCATGTATTTCATCTGGTCCCGGGGTGCTCCAGTTCTTAGATTTTCTAGCCTGTTTCTTAACTAGTTCTGTGGTGATCTGGAACTCTGGCATTTTTGGGGTTTTCATTTGTTTTTTGGTGTCCTTAATCCATTTTGCTTCTGCGTTGTGTTTAGTGCTGTTATCCCATATGTCTCTCCAGAACCCGTATGTGGCTTCTTTGTCTGGCAGGTTTTGTTTGCCTGTGTTGGAGTTTTCTAATGACTTGTAAAATCTTTTTTGGTCTGTTTTAAAAAGCTGATTCTGTCTATACTGGACATATACACTATATATATATATATATATATATATATATATATATATATATATATATATATATATATATATATATATATATATATATATATATATATATATATATATATATATATATATATATATATATATATATATATATATATATATATATATATAACTATATATATATATATATACGATAATTATTATAAATAATTGATTAACGAATTGAACGTTTATCTAATTCTAGTATCCAACGCACAACATCCAACCGGGGAAAAGTATGGTACCGGAAGGCCGAGTGTCAATGCGAGTAAAATTGCAAACTGTAAAAACCTCGTTTAAAAATAAAATAATCAAAAGGCAAGCACAACGAAAATAAATTTTCGTTACAAGTTCGAACTTCTCACGATGATTTGAACCACTTAGCTGCTAAAAAAACTTACTAAGTTATATTGGTTTCCCCGGATGAAAGCTAATGTGGGAAATACATTAAGTGCTGTAGACTGTGCTTGAATAAAGAAAACGACCAACAGAAGAAAGAACTTCCAATGCATACCGTCCATCTTGATCACTTCGGACTTTATCCGAAAAGCAGAAAGAAGAATCGTAATTATTTAACGCCATAGATGCCTTTACTAAGTTTATTTTCATGAAAGCCGTCAGTACAACAAAGACGAGTAAAGCGTTGATATTTTTGGATGACATATCTGCTTTATTTGAACGACCTATTCGGATTATCTGTTTTCACATCTAAAATGTTCAGTGCTTATTCTCAAGATCGAGCAATTATACCTGTGAAAGTAGCGTTGGTGCTTTAATTTAAAAATATCTCGGATCACAGAAAAAAAAATGATCTATAACGCGATTCTGAAAAGCGCAATGTTATATGACTCTGGGGTATGGCTGTTAAGCAAAAAAAACATAAAAAGAAGTTGTTGTCTACCGAAATGGACTTCTGGTGAAGATCAGCCGGAATCTCCCGTTTAAATAGAATTAGGAACGAAAGAATACGTGAATAAAAATGAAGGTGGATGGTAACATTGTAAAGATATACAAGAAAAACAACTACAGTGGTACGGCCATATGTAGGTACAACGAATGGCTGACGACAGAATACCAAAGCAAGTATTGCAGTAGACACCTAGAGACAAACGTAAATGAGGCTGACCTAAACCTTCCTGGAATCAAGGATTCGACAGAGCCATGTCGGAAAGGAACCTATACTATCAGGAGATATTGGGACAACAAACGAAAGTGGCGCATGGAAACCAGAAGGCGACGAAGGACGCTGTAACAAGCGGATACATCCATACAAATTAGCGGTGGCAACTTGTAGAGCTAATAGTCAAATTGAACATTACAATTACACAATCCACAACTCACTGATGATCTCAACTCTAAAGGAATAGGACACCAACATCAAGAAAGTGCCATAAACAATATGCCAAATAAGAACACCGGAAAAACTTCAAGTGAATTCGTGTATAGGTATCACTCTGAACCTCTGAACTTAAACAAAAAAAAAATAAGATTAATTTAAATAAATTCTTTATATCAAAGAGCTACTACACGCTAAACGAACTCTTCTGGGACCTCAAAACTCAAGGCTTTTCGGCAGATATATAATAATAATTCTTGAATTGGAATTGTTTTGTTTGTGTATAAATTCAGGTATATTTCTTTTATATTTGTCTTTGTGTAATTTTATATCATAAAATTGTTCTTGTTTTCTGTATATATTCTTCGTGAAGATCCTATAATCTAAGTACCATTGTATTTATATTAAATGGAATTAATCAAATCAAATCAAATCATCAAAGACAAACAACCGATCAGTGCTTGGTTTATGCAGTTACATGAATACCTCGGGTAGTAGATAATCTTTTACTTGAAAGAGAAAGAACAAGCAGATTAACTGAGCTGGCTGAAAGCAAACAGACAGTTTACTTGGATAAAACTCGTGAAGAAGCAAAACAGCCCAAGATAGGTGATTTGTTGCTTATCAAGAGAACAGCACGAGCAGTCGTATCAGCCGTAGATTACTTTTTTTATTGAAACAAACGTAAAGTTAACTAAACGAACGGTGGCAGTGGGACACTGGAAAACATGTGGAGAAGTTTCAGATTCAGCTGCTAGTGAAAGATATGGTAAATATGGAGATTTAGTATTATCCGATATTTAGGCGTATTTATCCGATAGTTAGGCGATATTAGGGGTAAGCCTAACGAAATCCGATTAGGCAAGCTCGGGACGAGCTTCTAGCAGGATGGCGGACTGTAAGAGTCTTGTTTTCCGTTAAAAAATAGTTTATATTAAATTGTGTTATTTTAACAAATAATATTTTATTTGAATCTCTAATTGACTTCTCTTGACGGCATCACAATGGAAATTATAAAATTGTCGTTTCCTAGACGATGCGGTTTGCATTGTTGATGATTATTTTGACTGACGTCTCTATTTATCAAAAAAATATTAAATTCAGATTATAATTGTATGGAAAATATTTCTGGGACTGAATAGAAGGAATGAAGTATTATACAGGTGAGTGTATTTTGTTCACTCACGGGCATTACTGGGATTTGTGTAGGAGTAGTTTAATATTATTTAGTTAACAGTTATCACTGAGCTTTAGTAGTAGATAGAGAAGGATATTTTAGTATTACTTTTATGTGTGTGTGTTTTATAGTAGTCAAGTATTTATCAAAGGGCATTTTAATATTGTTTAGTTAAAAGATAGATGTTTATCAAAGAGTATTTTAGTGTTATTTATTAAAGATACTTAATGGACAGCTTTTTATCAAAGAGTATTTTAGTAATATTTATTGGGTGTGATTTATAATACCTGGCAAATTATCAAATGGTGTTTAGTATTATTATTTTGGGAATATTTTATATTTTTACGTATGACCCAAATTGTTTAACAACAATATTATGCTATGTCGCTTTGTGGCCATCCCTTTTGTGCGTGGGAAAGACGCCTTGTCGCTTAGCTGCGGAACAGCAATATTATGCTATTGCACTTTGTGGCCATCCCTTTTGTGCGTGGGAAAGACGCCTTGTCGCTTAGCTGCGGAACAACAATATTAAGCTATGTCGCTTTGTGGCCATCCCTTTTGTGCGTGGGACAGCCGCCTTGTCGCTTAGCTACGAAACAATATTAAAATATTTAACTATTTTATATACTCGATTATGGTGATGTGATCATGTGCGTTTTCCAGTGATGCTCAAGTATATTTTATTTTTATAGATTGCAAATTGCGTGATTATAGAGTGAGAGCATTACACTAGTGTCCCGGCATCTAAGGTTGAGTTTAGCTTCTTTTGTTTATGTTGTTTGAATATTAAATTGATATTAACACCATTCATATATTATGCTATATAAATTAAAAACAATATATTATATTTTTCTTACTCGCTCTTACATATTGAACTGAGAGAAGCCCTGCTAAACAACATTACACGATTAGCCATTCCGAAGCTGGCGTGTGGACTCGATTGTTTGAGTTGGCGTACAATCCGGAGCATGATTGAAGTCTTGTTTAGATTTACGGGAATCGAGATCCTTGTTTGCTGCTACAACCCAAAGCTGAGATCGGGAGAGAAAACTGTAGACTGCTATTCCTACCAGACTTCTCAATGTACCAGGGGCCAGCTTTGCAAATACTTTCATTCACCGTGTACATCTCGGGACGAGCATGTATCTAAGAAGGGGGCAGTGTTGCGGACCCGTGTGAACTCGGCCTTAGGCCAGCCACTCGGCTATGACTCATACGCCCGGCGACGTTTGAAAACGAATAGAAGTTGGTAGAACACGGCTAAGAATTCTGACCAATCTGGATTGTCTGTTTCTCTCATATATAAGCAGACGCCCGAAGCCTGAGGGGGACAGAGAAAAACAACCGGTCGACGCGTACAGTTACAATCGCCGCGCTAATTCAAAATAAATTCCTGTTAGATAAATAGTTAGATAAATTGTAAATAAGTTATAAATAGTTCTTTAAGTTTTTTTTAATCGCTATTGTTTGTTACTTAGTGTAAATAAATTGTGTTTAAATAAATTGTGACTTTCTATCCACACGGAACCGACGAAAAACGGAACAATATTTTTTAAATTCTCAATTTTACAGGCGGATTTGCTGACTTCCCCGAAAATACAAAAATGTATCGTACCCGGAGCCGTAATTCTAATAACGTATAAAATCCATATCAATAAGCTTGCACTGGTACTCTCAGTGGACCGGTCCAAAAAGTCCACCGCCTATAAAGTGCTGGTACTGACTGATTTCCAACCTAAAAATTCGAATCCTGGAGAAAAGAGAGCAGATTTCTGGTATCAAATGTTGGCACTGACCAAAGATAAGGTGTTTGTCCCAAACACCACTAGCACAGGTCACGAGATCCTCACTATATCCGGACTAGACATTTTCGAAATAACATCTAAAGAAGTTAAAATTAAAACGGATATAGTTGTTCAAGATTGGCAGAAGAGACAAATAGAAAGGTTTAGAAATGATCCTCCTGGTACTGATAAAAACAAACTTGTTTATCCCCGTTTAATTCAGTTATTATAGGTGAAACCTGCAGAGAAGCGATTCAGGAATTATTAAAATTATCAATCCTCACCAACGAAGATCGGCAAGATGATGTTCTCAAACAGTTACACTTTATAAAAGACTTGAAAGTCAACGATCAAAATCTTTATTTTTCGCTTACGAAAATGTATGAACTCAAAGAAAAACTTCTGGATCATCTATCTAGCACGCAAATTCCAAATTTCGAGGAACAAGTAAGTTATTTGGAGCTTTGCTTCACTTTAGGTGTCTCAAAATTCATAATTTTTCTACAAAATCTTAATCACAGATAACATACATTAGAGAAAAATATTTGTGTTAAAACAACTTTTTACATACCGGGTGCGGCTCAAAAGTGGCTCACCTCTATAACTTTTTTACTTTTTCAGATAAAAAAATGAGATTTGGTATGTCAAAAAATATGACATAAATAAGATTGATTGACGTATTCAATTGTTTTGGTCACTTCCTGTTTCGCCGGAAATTACTACAACTTTTGATTTTTAAATGGCACCCTCGATATATTCTGACTTTATTCGATAGAAAATGACGATCTGAATAGAATGACATATCATATGTCAACTTTTGACATTTTCCCTTACAAAAAAATTGTATTTTAAATTTGAATCTAGATCTGCCATGGCTGTGTTAAAACACCTAATTTTTAATCAAGGAACCTTGGAAAAATAGATTTGATCATCTAATGTTTTTCGTGTCTTGTCCTAGCCGGTTAAAAAATGTCCAAATCGTTTTTTTAATTATAGACAGTTAAAGCAAGGCACAATACTGTCAATGTGTATGTGGCGCTAAACTGTATTACTGGTTGCCTACCTTACCGCAACGTGTCAAGAAAAATGGCGCATTCGCCAGAAAGTAAAAGAATATTACAGAATTCTTTAGAACGTTCCAGAAACACCCGCCAGAGAGTATATAAAGCCCGCGCTTGGCAGTTGGACCAGTTTGAAGTTTGAATATACCGCGTTTGGAAATTGTGAATTAATTGGCGGAGGTGCCAGAATTAGAGTAATAGTAGTTGCATAAATTGTGTTTTATAATTAGTATAAATTGCGTATACAGAAAAAGAAATAAATTCGTTAAGTATTTTATCGTGAGTTTAAATTAGTGGATCCACGGAATCCGTAACAATTGGTGTCAGAAGTGGGATTCAAGAGGATTTTAAGAAGAAATTAAGTTGATTGGTAGATTTTTGGACCGAATTAGAGTATTTTTATGGTTGGTACAAGGGAGCAAGCAAAGAAACTGGAGGAAGTAAGCAAATTATTGGGCGATTTTATGGAGAATATGAGAGGAGAGAAAGCAGAAGAACAAGAAAGACTCCGTAAAGAACGAGAAGAGGGAGCCCGATTAGAAAGAGAAAAGGAAGAGGAAAAACTACAACGTCAACAAGAACAGGACCGGCTTGAGAACATTTTCGAAGGTTTGAAAGTTCAACGACAACAAGAGAAACAAGAAGAACAGGACCGGCTTGAGAAAATATTGGGTAATTTGGAGGAGCGACGTCAGAGAGAAAAGCAAGAAGAACAGGACCGGCTTCAGAAAATCCTAGAAAATCATGAAATTCGACTTCAGAAAAGCTTCGGGGACATGGAAAAAAAGCAACAAGCAATGTTGGAAATGCGTTGCCAGAAACAGCAGAACCACTTCCAAGAAGCCGTAGAAGATCTGGAGGAACGCCTTCAGCGGAAAATGGAAAAATTAGAGACGAACCTACAGAAGACCAAGGTATAAGTAAGGACACCTGGCGTTCATGGAACTGCGAACCTCAAGGCCCCGACCTGCGATGGACAAACCACCTGGACGATGTACCACTGCCAGTTTGAAGCAGCGGCTGCTGCCAACGGGTGGACTGATCAAGAGAAAGCAGCAGCCCTTGTCATCGCGCTGCGTGGCCCTGCCTTGGAACTGCTGCAAACTATTCCTCCATCCAACAGCAGTAATACGAAACTTTGGTTGCTGCACTGGACAGAAGATATGGCGACCAACATCGACGTCAACTTTACCAGGCCCAGATCAGGCCTATGATACTAATGAACAAGATAGTCAGCAACACCCGAAGATTCCAGGATATTAGGTGCTATGCATGTGGCAGGAATGGCCACATCAAACGGGATTGTCGCATCCAAATGCGATTCCATTCACTATCCAGAGAAAATAGGCACATCGGAAGATCTCAGGACATAAGTTGCTATAGATGTTGCAGGAATGGCCACATCGAACGGGATTGCCGCGTTGAAATGCCGTTTAGCATCCAGAGAACATAGGCACCAGGAAATCAATACTAATAAGCGTGTATTGGCTGAAGAAAACAGAGCCTCTAGGATGTTTTCCATTAGGAGTCTAGGAAAAACCGCTGACAGTTTGGTGATCAATGCGAAGGTCAATGGTAGAAGAATTCGAATGACTGTGGATACATGCGCTATGGTATCGTTGGTGCGGACTAACTCAGTGCAAGGATTGAAGACGGTGCCTCTTAGAAGAAGAGTGTATTTACGTACAGTTACGGGGGAAATGACCGTTGTACGGGGAGAGGCTTTCATGGAACTGGAGTTAGGGAATTTTAAGTTTCGGCGAGATAGCGTTTTTAGGTTTCGGAGATAGCGTTTTTAGGTTTCGGAGATAGCGTTTTAGTGGCAGACATTGAAGATGATTTTATCATGGGTATGGATGTGATCAGTCAACATGGTTTTTCGTTCGATCACCATAGAAACATCCTGAAAATCGGAAATGAGGAATTTGCTGTATCTAAAGAGAAGAGACCAGGAAATATGGAAGGAAGATCAGCGGATATTGTGATGATATCTGGTGATACCAAGAAGACTGTGTTCGGGAAAATGGAGAAAACCTCTGGGTGCCGTGTAGGACGGGTACAAATTATCGATAACGAGCCAGATCGACAACGAGCTACCTTGGACAAGAAAATGAAACATCGTGAAAGCACTATCAGAGTAAGGAATTTTAAACCAAGAACTGACGAACAATGGACGACGATACAATTGAGGAAAGATCAAATGGAAGATCCAGACATCGGAGCTATACTACGGCTCAAGGAAGGTAACGGCGAGAGACCACCGTGGCAGGATATTGCGGACAGAGGGTGGTTTTCAAAGCTCTCTGGGCTCAGTGGAATTCACTGATGATTGAGAATGGATTATTAAAGCGCACGTGGGAAAGTGCGGATGGCCGAACAGTAACAACTCAGTTACTGGTACCAAGGAAGAAAGTTACCCAGGTATTGGAAGAAATTCACGGTGGTAAAACTGGAGCCCATCTTGGAGTAAACAAGACCTTGAGCAAGCTAGACAAAGACTAAGTACTCGATCTAGGGGAGAAATGGAACAGGATAGCGTTGGACTGTCGCTTGAAAGAATCGCTAGGAAGGAAAGATCATTGGACATTCATAAGGCCGTTAAAAAGAAGATTGAGCTAGCCAGTGACCGGATTAAAGCTCGTTACGACCTCAGAGCTAATTCTACGGGATTTCAACAGGACGATATGGTATGGTTATATAACCCGCAGCGAATGAAAGGAAGATGTCTAAAGTTAACTCTAGCATGGGAAGGTCCTTATACAGTCATCAAGAGGATAAATGATGTTGTGTACCGGATTCAACGCAGCCCTAGAAGTAAGATGAAAGTGGTTCATCTGGATCGATTGAAGAGACACCAGACAGGAAACCTTGATCGGGACGATCAAATTTGAGAAGGGGGCAATGTCAGGGTGTATGTGGCGTTAAACTGTATTACTGGTTGCCTACCTTACCGCAACGTGTTAAGAAAAATGGCGCATTCGCCAGAAAGTTAAAGAATATTACAAAATTCTTTAGAACGTTCCAGAAACACTCGCCAGAGAGTATATAAAGCCCGCGCTTGGCAGTTGGACCAGTTTGAAGTTTGAATATACCGCGTTTGGAAATTGTGAATTAATTGGCGAAGGTGCCAGTGTTAAGTAATAGTAGTTGCATAAACTGTGTTTTATAATTAGTATAAATTGTGTGTACAGAGTGAGAAAGAAATAAATTCGTTAAGTATTTTATCGTGAATTTAAATTAGTGGACCCACGGAATCCGTAACAATACGTATACGTATCTCTCGACACGTAACGCAGAAACCTACGTTACGGTCTGCCGTTGCGTTGTCGTGTAAACAAGAGTTAAAGCAAGAATTTTGACGTACGTAACGCAAATGGTACATTTTTAATTCTAAATTATTTTGTGAAATAATTTATAAACTGAAAATGGATATCTATTATTCCCTTGATTCCACATTAAATTTATTAAAGGTCGAAAAATGAAGAAAATTATAAATGGAAATTATTTTATTACAGAAAGCAGTCCTTACAACTTAAAATGCTCTTAGTAATAAAAAATATTGTAAAACAGACACAGTTTTATGATTATTTATTAGATTCCATTTTTTAGAATCCTCATATGGATTTTGGCTAAGAACTAGCATTTAATTAAATAGATTCCAAAATGAGTTTATTATGATGTTTAATATTTTCATACTAATTTATTGTAATAAAATAGGCCCAGTTCTGTTACACTGGCCCCAAAATTTATGAAATAACTTAATTACTAGCCAGTTCACCAGTTGTGGAAACGAGTTGTTTGTGAATTTGTACGTTCGGCACCATTCGGGTGAAAATCGAAACTCCTTCGGCTCGATACGTTCGAGTTCTGTACGTACGTAAAGGCACGTAAAGATACGTATCAGCTATCCGTAAACGCAAGTGAATTTCTCACTGCGCAAGCGTACATGTCAAACGATACGTTTACGTCTACGTCTTTGGCTGTGCTTTAACTGTCTTATATCTCAATTTTTTCAAATGGAACAAGGGTGACTCGTTAGCATATTTGGAAAAAGCATTTTTTTACGAATAATTTGGTAACACACACTTGGTATTTCGAGTCAAATTTTCGTTATGAACTGCATGTTATAATTTCAAATAGACCAGATGCGAAAATGTCAAAAGTTGACCTATGATATGTCATTCTATTCAGAGTGTTATTTTCTATCGAATAAAGTAGAAATATATGGAGGGTGCTATTTAAAAATCAAAAGTTGTAGTCATTTCCGGTGAAACAGGAAGTGACCAAAAACAAACGAATATGTCAATCAATCCTAATTTATGTCATATACTAACATACCAAATCTCTTTTTTTTATCTAAAAAAAATAAACAAGTTGTAGGGGTGAGCCACTTTCGAGACGTACCCGGTAGAGGCGTCAGAGCGTACAGAATGACGTCACTGACAGGTCGGCCATATTGGCTGGTTTTGATTTGTCGCATCGCCTGACATGACTTATGTCAAAATGACTATTTATTGTTACTGTATTAATATTATTTATACTATTAAAATTTTTGTGGTATATAAGCTTTTCTTCAATGTTTAAACATAATATAAACAATGAGAAATATTTGTGTTAAAAATCTACAATTATTGAGACAAATAAGTGTGATTGCACGAAATCCTAACATATAAATGGTGTTTCAAAAAACATGTGCCATCTCTCGTGGAGAGATTCCTTAACGTAAAAATGAGATTTATTTATTATATCAACAAAGGTCTGATTTGTTTCGTAGCTACAAAATTATTAAACATTTTAATTAAATTAAATTCTTCATATTTTTTTGATTTATTATAATTTTCTTCCGAGTGCTTTTAGTGATTCGAATGAAATTATGAGGCTAAAAGGTTTTTTTTGAGGATAAAAGGTTCTTTTAAAAAATATTGTTCTAAAAAATGTGATGATACTAAAAGAAATTCCAAATTTTGAATAAAAATTAAATGCAATATCTGTATGAAAATATGTCTTCTATAAAATTTATTTATCTCTTTAAATTTCGCTTTATTCGTTTCATCTCTCTGCAATCTTGTTTTTTCCTTGATCTGGGGATATTTCTGTAGACCCGGTAACTGTGCTATAAGATTATATTACTAACATCCGCTTTTAGTTTGAGACTGTATTTGAACGAAAATTTCTTGAAGAAAAGAAAAAAGACCTAGAATTCCAACTGTCAAACGCCAGCTTGATTCTATACCCAGACTACCAAAATAGAATAAAATTACTTAGGAAACTGGATTATGTAGACCCAAAGAACAGAGGTAGAAGTAGATGTATATTAAGAGGTAAAAACTAGATGTTTATTTAAATAATTTTCTTTACAGTAAAACTGAAAGGCAAAGTAGCCTGTGAAATGGGTATGAATGAACTCCTTATCACTGAACTTGTTCTGGAAGACGTGTTCATCAATTTACAAGCATCGGAAGTGGCAGCGCTGCTTTCTGCTCTAGTTTTTAGAGTTAAACTGCGCGGAAGCTTCAATGAGTTTGAAGAAGAATTAACTCCTACTTTAAAAGAGGTAATAGTACAGGATCCGGCTGCGGGATTATTACGGTCATCCTATTTTTAATCAAAACCTAATTATTACGTATACAGGGTCCAGCAATAGTGCGTCGGGCATCTGTAGCTCCTAGAATAAAAAACTTGGGAATTTTGTTTAAGTGCAAACCTAAAGTATGTACTAGGATGTATTTCAGAAAAATAATTTAACTGCTACAGGGTGGCTCAAAAAAGTGAGTGGATCGGTATGATTTTTTTTAAATGGAACACTTTATAAAATTGCATTTTTCGCTTCCTTTCAAATCACTTTATATAATCCTAAGATATGAGTAAATATATTTCGATTGTTTTAGATATATTAATAAATAAATAATAGATATTTTCAGCCTTTCTTAAAAAATTATTAAAAATACAAGAACTGTCCTGAAATCAAAACTATATTATGTATTTTAGATGGTCTGTACATACTTTGCTATAAATATGGTAATCGTAAATCATACAGGATGTTCAAAATTCTACGCCAAACTTTCTGAACTATAAAATAATTTTTCTGCGTGTATCTGCGAAACCATTTAAAAAATGCAAAAAAATCATTTTTTAACTCTCCATCTAATAAAAAAATAATGTTGCGGACCCGTGTGGACTCGACCTAACCTAACTATATGTCCGGCCCTCAGACGACCTTAACATCGCATTAAAGAATAGACACTGTAATGATCCATTCGAACGTTCGAGAAAAGACGAGTCCCACTGGAATGGAGTAGTACATACGAGAACATTCGAAACCTTCTCTATGCACCTAATGATTTATGGACTATTCGAGAAACTCTTTAGCTGGGGGTATAAAAGCCGGCGGCTGGGGCCTAAAGAGGACAGATATAAATAAGACCAGTACAGTTGACGCGCTAAATTTAAAATAAATTCTTTCTAGATAAATAGTTGTAAATCGTTTGTAAATAGTTCTTTCAGTCTTTTATCGTTATTGTTTTAGTTAATTAGTGTTAAATAAATTGTGACTTTCTATCCACACGGAACCGACGAAAAACGTAACAATAATATAACGGTGTTCCATTAAAAAAAAAACGAAGAAAAATTATTTAACATTTTAGAAACTTTGGATTGGATTTTTGAACACTCTGTATGCTTTAAGATTACGATAGTTATAGTAAAGTAAGTAATGGTCTATACTACAGTGTAAATGCCTAATATAGTTTTGATTTCAGAACAGTTCTTGTATTTGTTTAAAAAAATTTAAGGAAAGTTGAAAAATATATATTTTTTATTTATTTATCAATATCTCATCCAAATATATTTAGTCTAATCTTAGTATTATGTAAAGTGATCTGAAAGGAAGCCAAAAATACAGTAACATACAGGTCGTTCCGTTTAAAAAAAATCATCCTGATCCACTCACACTTTTCTGAGCCACCCTATAGAAGTTAAAATATTTTCCTGAAATACATCCTCGTACATACTTTAGGTTTACACTTATAGGCTTGGCGCATTTCAGTTGATTTCAACAAATTCCGACCGCAGCGCACTCTACGGCAGAAATCAGAAATTATCATAATGTACTTTACGCCGCGCCGTCATGTCGATCGCATTAAAATAATATTGAAATCGGGGTTTTGTCATAATATTTAAGTATTTTAGTTTTTTGCTAGTGCAGTTATTGAGACTATAAACACTCAGGTACGAGGTTTATGTGATGTAACGCTGTTTCGGGTAGTAAAAAATAACTTAAATAGAATTCTAATTAAAAAAAACTAGGCGTCTTGTTGTGTTGTATCAATTTCATATGTTAATAAAATTGCCCCAAAAAATGTTAACACGTAAAGGAGAGCGTAATTAAGGCGTTGTTGGGTGCAATAACATTCAATAACTCAACCTTTCCCGGATATTCAACCCCTCCGAAACAACATTTTATAACTTTATAATTTCTTACACCAATTTGATCAATAGAAAAAGTGGATTCAAGCAGGTCGACGAAAAAAATGAGTAAACAAAGTGCTCGTTACATAATCAAAAAATTAAATAGACATACTATGAGAAGATAAAATATAATTTGCAATTTTAATGGTATACTGTTTTAATCAACTAGTGATTAAATGTTTTATTTAATTATATTGTTATAATTTAATTTTTAATTGTTACCTTTAAAAAATTTCGTTGTAGCTCCAATTATGTCCCACTAGCAAAACCGGTGATAAAACCACAGCTTAAGTAAAAAACAGCTCGGACAGTGTAGCGTGCCGCTTTGAATTTTTTACGCTCGGATTTGCGATTCGAAAGAGGGAGAACACTAGAGCGGCGAGCTCTCTCGCCACAACGAATAGCCGCGTAAGCGTCAGTAAGCCAGAGATGTATTAAAAAAAAATTACACGTGACGTAAAAAAATATTCGACGGGTGCTAGAACATAATTTAGATACACGTTTTTTAAATTGTTGACTTTAAATAAATATGCATTCTCAAAGAAAAACATTTAAAAAACAAATTAATTAATTTATTTCTAGAAATAACAGCAAAATGAAATAGGTACATTGCCATTGATTGCTTATAGTTATTTACGAATGTTTCCAAATTAGGTGCTTTCGGTTTTTGTTTGCTACATTTAAATTCTTGTTAATATTTTTTAAGGTATAATAAATTCTAACTTTTACGTATAATTTTAACAAAAAATACATTATAGGAAAATTTTGACAATGATGGTTGAATTTAATTGTCTGAAATAATTTAACGAATTTACATAATATATTTTCATTTAAGGAAAGTTCTTCAAAATTGTTCTGAAAAATAGCCTCCATTGAGGACACTAAATAAAAAAATGGTCACTTGGCATTAGCAAGCCTTCAAATAAATGGTCTTTATCGTTTTGAAAAGCTCTAAAGTGTGAATATACTTTTGAATTGAACATTAATTTTGAATTGAATTGAAAATTAAACAGACTATATTTTGAATTATGTCCATAATTATTTGTGCAACCAGCAGCCGCACATCCCGGAAAACCTTTTCCCATTCCAACAATAAAAATAAAAGCACAAATACCTCTGGTTAAATATAAGAAAAAAATCGAATTAAAATCTTCCGTAATACGGCCCTACTCGTCACGGTAGAAGTTATGCATCGACTGAATGAGGCTGACTGTCGCTCGCTTAATTCAGTTAAGCATCGTCGGAGTGGGGCGTTTTAAATTCGAGCGTGGGAAAATTGGCGAGTGTCCAAGCTATATTATTCTGTAAGCTGTGATAAAACTATGCTCGCTACCGTAGTTGAACTCATCTAAAAATTGTTTTTTAACTGGAATAATAAATTATAATGCAAGTTAGACCTTCTGAAGGTATCAAAATATTTACCTTTTTTTTTGTTTAGAATTTCCTCAAATTATACTTTCAACACTTAGAATCATTATATACTAATTTTTTCAAAAAATGTCTATACCTATGTGGCGGATTCATCTATCCAAAAAAATCCTTTATGGGTATTTCGCCACTGCACTGCAAGAAAAATCTACAAAATAAAATAGTTATTTTTTGTAAACTTCTGCGTTAAACCTAAACGGACGTTGCTTGTCAGAAGTTGTGTTTACAGAAGGAAGGAGCATAATGGTATCCATGTATTCATGCATGGTGGGCGGAAAAAGCTCTCTAGGGTGGGGATCCTTGACAGTTCTGTTTGACGATTCATTTGACACATTTGAATTTGATTTGAAATTTTGTGGATTTGTCAGTCTTTACGGAGCTTATTTTATGTTATTTATTATTTATTCTACTACTGATAGTTGTATAAAGGTAGTAAATCTAGATTTGCTACCTATATACATACGTGTTGTAAACCGATCATTTATGAAATTCACTTAAATTAACTAAATTATATATTTTCTTGCATTTTAGCTTTTATTTACTACTTGTCAAAGATCAGATGTCAAAGAATTTTGATACGTTAATTTGACTTACCTGCTTCAGTAGCGTATCGGATGTTTGTGTTAATAAATACTTATTATAACTTATCTATTTTTATTAGAATTATATATTTTTATAACAATTTTAATAACTACCAACATTTATTCACAACGTAAAATAAAATAACAAATTATTGAGTCTACCCCACGTCTACCCTACGTCATAGTTTTACATTTGTTAAATAAAATTAGAACGGCACTGATAAACCGGAATTTAAGTCGGCCATATTTGAGGCCCATCGCGGTGTACCTAAGATTTTTGATATGCTCCTTCCTTAGTCTTCTTATTCAAAGCTGTAAATCTTCGAGGCTGTAAAAGAAGTATACGGCCCAACTAAGAACGTAAGCTGCCCAATCAAGGCACAAAACGGTGAACTTCTAAAAGAGGAAGAGCAAATCAGAAATCGCTGGAAAGAGCATTACAGCCATATCCTTAACCAAGACAATATCCCCAATATGGAAGCACTAAACACCTCAGTATAACAGCATTGATGTATTAGATTTCCCAGTAACGGAACAGGAAATAAGGGCCTCCATAAAACAACTTAAAAACAACAAATCGGCTGGCTGTGACGCGATTCCAGCGGAAATCTATAAGTGTGCAAGCAAAGAACTTATTGGTCATCTTAAGGCTCTCTTCGATGTCATATGGGAAAGCGGAGAGGTACCTCAGGACTTTCGCAACGCGAATATAGTAAATATATTTAAGAACAAAGGAAGTGCATCAGATTGCGGAAACTACCGAGGAATTTCACTACTGGTTATCGGAGGTAAAGTTCTCGCAAAAATTATGTCAAACCGCCTGCACCCACATATAGAAAAAATCCTCCCAGAATCGCAAATGGGCTTTCGCACCAACCGCGGTACCGTTGATTCCATATTTTCCGTCCGCCAACTACAGGAAAAAGTAAAGGAACAGCAGAGTAAACTTTATGTTCCATTCATCGACCTAACGAAAGCCTTCGACTCTGTAAACAGAGATGCACTTGGGCAATTATGCAAAAGTTCGGAGTGCCCAACAAATTTCTTAGTGTGTGTAAAAGCCTCCATAACAACAAGT